GTGGATGGGTGAAGGAAGGGATGGATTGACTGGTGGAGGGGTGAAGGAAGGGATGGATTGACTGGTGGAGGGATGAGTGGATGCATGGATGGACAGATGGATGGATGGACAGATGGATGGATGGATGGTTGGATGCATGGATGGATGCATGGATGGACAGATGGATGGGTGAATGAATGAGGAACAGATAAACAGATAAATTTAATGCAGTGAACAATGGATGGAAGGAGGGATGGACGAAGGTATCGATGGATGAATCAACATCTTCACCCTATTGTACTTTCAGGTATTACAGTGTCCCCATAGCAACTCTTGATTTCTCTTCACTATATCCGTCAATCATGATGGCTCACAACCTGTGCTACACATCCCTACTTCATCCTTCACAAGTAAAAGAGTAAGTTAAAAATGGAGAGTTTTATATTCCCTAATAGTTTAGGTACAGACTCTCTGCCTCGATAGCAATGCTTTACCATTCCAGCAATGTCATTCTCTTGAGAATAAGATTCTTTGTTTGGGTTGTTTCATATTCAATCATGTGACTATACATGTGCAGCCATTAAACAAAGAACTGATACTCTAGGGAATGACATTTGAGCTCAAATGTGAAACCATTATGCTCAAGGTAAACAGATGTACTAGAGAAACTTTATAAAAATGTAAATTTGTTGACTAAAGTAAAAAAAAAGTATATTACAGTAGCTTTTTCATATGTTTATTTAGTATGCCACCAGACCAGTTCATCAAGACACCATCTGGTAACTACTTTGTGAAGAGTTCCATCAGGAAAGGTCTCTTGCCAGAAATCCTTGAACATCTGCTGTCGGCAAGAAAAAAGTATGTGCCATTCATGAGTGCTTACAGAGCAGATTTTCTAGGACCGTAAAAAACTTTATTACATGTTAAATTTTTGTTTGCAGGGCAAAAGCAGACTTGAAGAAGGAAACAGATCCATTCAAAAAGAAGGTTGTCATTATTTTCTTGTTATTTTTGTTCTTTCTTTGATTTGGTGAACTGTACTTAATCTGTGACCTTTGTTAAAACGTAAAATGCTAACTTCTGGGACTCACTCAGCTGATATTAGTCTTTGGATCTTATTATCTGCTCCAAATGGTGGTCAAACACTGACTACCATGTGCTGTCAGCCAGAAAGAATGCTATTGAAAACTTGTGATTCAGCTGATGAACATCCCACATGAGAAATGTGTTTGCATCTTAACACAGGAAACCAACCATCCTCTTGTATTTCCAAAAGATTTGTCTTAACAGTGATTGTCTTGCAGGTGTTGGATGGACGTCAGCTGGCTTTGAAGATCAGTGCCAATTCTGTGTATGGTTTTACTGGTGCACAGGTCGGCAAGCTCCCATGTCTGGAAATCTCACAGGTATGTGTTGACTTTGATGGAGCATAGCAGATTGAGCAAATAGTGTGACAGCCTTATTACCTCCTGACATGATGAGCAATGATGATGGTTATGGTGGTGATGATGATTGTTGACTTAGACATGCCATGACATACTGTCAGATCATTTTCTTTAGCTGACTAGTGATTTCACTCCCTATGTTTAGTTTATCACTTGTCATGCAAAAACATTACCTTGTTTCCTATATATACTACAACATTGCTGCTGTAAAACCACTGCAAGCCACTGTACTGGGTGTCACTGCTCAGGCATTGGTTCTTATTTGTTGCACTTCTAACCTGGCAGCAATACTCTGCTACAGATTCTCATGGGTGATTGTGAACAGTGAATTTGAATCACAATTTTGTTTTGACAGACATTTTTGTGTTTTCTTGTTAGAGTGTGACAGCTTTTGGTAGAATGATGATCGAAAGAACAAGAGAACTTGTTGAAGACAAGTATAAAATTGCAAATGGCTACAAATATGATGCCAAGGTAGCTATAATACCAGTTTTAACCGGTTTGACAGGTTATATTAATACCTCAAACAAGTTCAATTCCCTGACTTGGTGTCATATATAATTATGTGACTTGATTTTGTTGTTGGTTCTCTCCTTTGCTTCAAGTTTTTTTCTCATTTTTTCCTCCCTCCACAAAAATCAACATATCAAACATTGAGTGTCATATTTCCCTGTGTCTGTTGTCTGTGAGGCAGACCCACTAGTTCCCGTATCCTTCATCGCATCGTCCCCGTATCCTTCCTCAGTTTTCGAGTTTTTTTTTTTCTTTTCTTTTCTTCTTCAAAAATGTTCATGTCGAATTTGTTATAAAACGGCGGCCTTTTTGTTTGCCGCTTTTCCACGCGATTCAAATATGGAAATATTGATCATACCATGTATGGAGTGAGCTTTCTCTACTCCAACTTCGACACTAACATATAGAGTAAAGCTTGATATGCAAAAATCAAATCAATCTTGGGAGATGTTCTCAATAAGGTTAACCTCTTGTCCTTATACCTTGTTTGGCACTATAATGTGAATAATTTGGTTATAATATTGAGTCCTACAATGTATGTAAGTCATTCTATTATCTAACCTGTTTTAAACCTGTTTAACAGGTTATCTATGGAGATACAGATTCAGTCATGGTTCGTTTTGGGGTTGATACTGTAGCAGAAAGTATGGAACTTGGTAACGAAGCTGCTCAATATGTATCTGGGCACTTTGTTTCTCCAATCAAACTGGAATTCGAGAAGGTAAGTTGGGAACAAACAAGGGTAGAGGCTGTCTCAGAATAGAATGAAGTAGCCAAATCAAGCACCCTACTGATGTTGGCCTTGTTAGATTCATTATTCTTAACAAAGGAATAATCCTCAAAGGAAGAACATGTGATGGGAATGATACAAATAGCTTTAACTCTGCTTAAAAAGAATAGTTTTCTCAATTGACATTTTGGATGTTGGCTATTCTTTACTTCAATAACGGACTAATGTCCAAAACATCAATTATTCACACACCAATGCAGCCAAACTGGTTTACTAAATAGTTTTCGTATGGAATACCTTGTGATTTAAAAGTGGAAAATTTGCACCATCTCAAGCAGACTATATTGATGCCTTTATCAGGTTTATTTTCCATACTTGCTGATCAACAAGAAGAGATATGCAGGGCTGTACTTCACTAAAGCAGACAAGCATGACAAGATGGATTGTAAAGGAATCGAAACTGTAAGTACAATCAAACCCAGAACAAGTTGGGGCCTAACGAGTCCACTGTCTGAAACAACCTCTGAGCTGATCATCTAAATCAGGGCAGGCAGGCTAACTTAGATATTGAAGCCTTTTTTCATAAACTATTGTTTAAACAAGTAAAGAGGGAACATGGTTATGCTTCGTTACATGAAACGTTTGATGATCTCTTTTTTTCTTTGCAGGTGCGGCGTGATAACTGTCCTCTGGTGTCTAACCTCATTGGTTCTTGCCTGAAGAAGCTCTTGATTGGCAGGTAAGTACAGACTCGTACCGAGTCCTTTCTCTTATTGATCTCACGCTGTGGTTGACGGGAAGGATTTAGTGAGTTCAAGGGAAGGAAGGAAGAGAAAAGCGAAGCAACATCACTTTTTCTCTGTCCTTTCCAAAAGCCTTCGCGCGCAATAACTAAATGTGAGCTACGCATAGCATAGCTCCAGAGGTTCAAAAATGCCCCGTCCGTCCCCTCCCTCGGAAAAGATTTGATTATTTCGTATAGTTTCTCACTCTTTCTCTCTCTCTTCCAGGGATCCCCAAGGTGCAATAGAATACACCAAACAAATCATCTCAGATTTGTTATGCAATCGTATCGATATCTCACAACTCGTTATCACTAAAGAGCTCACCAAAACTGGAGACGAATACGCAGCCAAGCAGGCACATTCTGAACTAGCTGCAAGGTACGTTGGTTTACTCCACCAGGTTTTTACTGCATTCTACAGCCGTTTCAATTCTCGTTTCGTTTCATCTTAGGATGCGTAAGCGAGACCCTGGCTCTGCCCCCAAGCTGGGTGATCGAGTACCGTACGTCATCATTGCTGGATCTAAAGGAGCAAAAGCTTATGAAAAGGCTGAGGTGAGACGACACAACTGACTGGCGTGACCGACCGACTGATTGATTGATTGATTGATTGATTGATTGATTGATTGATTGATTGATTATCTTGCAGGACCCCATATATGTACTAGAGAACAACGTCCCAATAGACACACAGTATTACCTGGAGAATCAACTGTCCAAACCGTTACTGAGAATATTTGAACCAATACTTGGAGAAGCCAAGGCAGCCTCTGTGTTATTAAGTATGTATATAACGATGGTGATGGTGATGGTGATGTTGGTCATGGTAACAGATGATGGTGATGATGCTGATGATGGTGTTGATGAAGGTACATGATGATACATGATGATGATACATGATGATGATGATACATGATGATGATACATGATGATGAT